TCCAACACTCAAACCACTACACCATGCTGGCTTCTATTTCCATGTACTGCCTATGAAACAATTGCAGACTTTTTGTTTAAAAAAATCAATGACGAATATAAAAACAAGAGATAATAGCATTACTGCACAGCTCCTCAGTTTGGTTTCATCTCTACAATGAGTCTTTTACAGAGATTCATTCATGTAGATTTGCTGCCACCCAGTGGTCATAAAAATGTAACTCTGAATTAAATTCATGAGGTCACCATAAGTTGACAGGAGACTTGAATGCACATACACACATTACATATCTTTTAGCTTTTTGAAGTATATTCCTGGAATATCTAGGAATAATAATACACATTGCCACTACTATTAAAACATGCCACTTGAAATGTCCTTAGCAAATGTGTTATCAGAAAAAGAATAATTCACAAAATAAAATCCAGAAAATTCATCCTTTTTAATAAGTTGGTCCAATATATCTTGCAACATAGCAGAGCTTCAAACATACTACATCAGTATTCCTCAACCTCAATGGAACCCAAGTTTCCTAATCTGATCCCATTTCAAAGTGCTAGTCCTCACTTTGTAGGCTTTAATAATCCAAATCTGCATGATGAATTAAAATGAGATCAGTTTATATAAGGAACAGAAACAGAGGTTTTACGGGATAGGTAACTAGCTTGCTAGACAACTTTCACAGCCGGCATCCATGTTTTTTGTGGGGGTTTTTTGGGCTATGTGACCATGTTCTAGAAGATTGTATTCCTGATGTTTCACCAGCATCTGTGACTGGCATCTTCAGAGAAGAAAACCCACAAAAAACAACTTTTAGAAAACTTGCAAGGGTTGCTGATTCTTATTATTTGACACAAAAAAAGGGTTATTTTGTCTGGGGTATGTAATCCAATTGTATTACAGAAAGAAAGCATAGCAGATAGTTGGCCTTCTGCCCATTATTTTGTTCCAGTTGTGGTCTTTAATATTCTAATAGATCCTCCAGACTCAGAAATCTGACCACACCTGTTCTAAAGGACAACCTTGTCCCATATAAATGTAAGTGAATATTGAGATTTTCACATTACACCTTGTCTTTGTGCCATGATCAGAGGTACAAGACAGAGCCTATTCAGTTTGGTCACCCAAAGTGATGGAGAGAAGACTGGGAATTAGTCTATCACAGTCCTCAAAATATTACAAGGGGTCCAAAGGAGGAGGAAGGAATTGAAAAGTCGATTGTCTGATAAGCAGATAGGGAGTGAAGGTTTGGAACAGGAGCACAATATTGTTAATATAAGTTTAGATCAGGAAAGGAATGGAGTCCAGCTAGGGATGTACATATAGGGAGATAAGTAGATCTTTAACTAAGTAGAAGGAAAGAGGACATATGAGTACAGTGACAATATTACATGCTGTTGTTATTATTTTGTGCATTCAAGTCATTTATCACTTATGGTGACCCTATCATGGAGTTTTATTTTCATGATTTGTTCAGAGGAGGTTTGCTTTTGTCTCTGCCTTCCCCTTTGAGGCTGAAAGGGAGTGACTTGCCCAACACCACCCAGTGGTTTTCCAGTTCAGAAGGCAGGAAGATACTAACTGGTATCCCCTCACTCTTTGTCAAATTTCAGCTTCCAATTGGCTTTCAGCATTCATAAAACATTAACATTCCATTACAAACATGGTATATGTTAAATTATAAAATTAAAAACAGTAAAAAAAAAACCATGAGAAACTGGGACAAATGAACAGGAGGAAGAAGTTAGGAAGATGAGAAAAGATTGAAAACATAAGAAATTGTTCAAATGTGCACTTTTAAAAAAAGCCAACAAGAGAAAGAAAAAATCTTTCCAACTATGAAGAACAATTTGTTCTGCTGAACATGTTGGGGAGGGAAGGTATGTTTCTACAGTTTCCTTACCACACACATGATATATGACAGGATAGCACCAGAGGAACCAATTAAAGCGCCCACAATCGTTAACAAGTTGTTGTTGAGGAGGAACCCCTCAGCACAGAGAGCCCAACCAGAGTAACTGTTCAGTACAGTAATAACGACTGGCATATCAGCACCTCCTATGGCTGCTGTGAGAGTGACACCCTGCAGAATGGAAATAAAAATATTGCTGAAACTGTAAGCTCTCAGGAAGGCACATTCATTTGCTACAAACATTTCTGAATGGCTTCCAAAACCTGCAAACACAGCCCTATGTACTCAACTCTTTTCTAGTAAGTGTTTCCAAATTCTTTAACAGGACATAGCACATCAAAATAAAACAATATTCTGTAGTCTGAGTGTTACTATGCAACCCAGCATACATTTGCTCATTTTTCATAATTTGGCTTTCAATCATCATGAGGGAGAGGCTGCCAATCATTCACCTCAGGGGTGCAGATAAGTTGGGGGGCA